GTGTAGCTCACAAGAGTCACGTCATTCAAGCAGGTCTGCACCAACTAATAACTATGATTGGGGCTGGATGTAAATGGCTATTATTTTGAGCTGTTAGGTTTAATTCTGTAAAATTACATGAAGCTGGTATATTATGAGGACTTTTTGATAAAAGGAAATTAGGTACAGAGATATCCCCCATGTGAATTTGACTCATGCTTGAGACATGACTAATACTTGACATGCCAAGTTGGAAAGCTGACTCAGTGCAAAATTCATGAGGCCGCCCAGCAGGGCTTTCTGATGGGTGGTGACTCGATGTTGAGTGGACACGGGCAACCTCATCCTGGAGGGTTGCATGCAGCTATCTTCGTTTTTCCGTGTCCCTCTGCCTCCGTCCTGATCAGACCTCACCACCTCCCATGTAGGCTCTGTCAGTAACCCAGCAGCCAGTCTGTTGGTTTCCTTCTTGGAGAATCTCTTCCAGTCGGTTGCGGAGGGGCCGTGGCTTCTGTATTTTGAAAACTCCAGGCGATTCTAGTGTGCAACCAGAGTTGTAACCCCGCCTCATCCCCCTCTCCATTGTCTCAAGTCCAAGCCATTGCGCCAGCCTTCTGAATTATACCCAACTATCTCGTGCCCTCCCCAATGCCCTCTTTTCCGCCAGTAAGCTTAGGCATGTTTGCCCCCGAGACTGCTCACACTGCTTCTTCCTTTCCAAGCCCTGGCCAACTTTCAAGAGCCCTTCACTGTGTTTTCTTCGATGTTCTTTTTTACAGCATTGCCATCTCCTTACTTGGAATGACCAAAGACTTCCTCACCCGCCGTTTCAGATGTCTCCTTGTTTACCCTGTCAGACATCTGGTGCCCTCTCACCGTGGTGTGTAGCCAGGTCCTCAGGCGGGGCCCGGCTCAGCCTTTGTACCCTTTCTCTCCCTCTCAGCTCCTTGGCACCCAGCATGTGTTGGTCGTGCAGTAGTCATGAACTAGGTACCTATTAATTGACTTTTACAAATGAATTTTCTATCTGATTTGGAGACAGAGTGAGACACCTTACTTGGCGACTGTACTTTCGGAGTAATTATTGCCTTGATTTGTATGGATTGCAGGGTTGTGCTTCCTCCTTAATTATTCAGTGGCCTCGGGGGTAGAGTCCGTGTTCATTTGCTTCAATGAACATTGATGGAGGACCCACCCGAGCAGGCCTTAAGTTGGGCACGGTTGTTTTGAACTGTGTTCCTGTCTCTGTAGACTTTCGTGCTGCTCTATAGAGATGGTGCCATTGAATAACGGATACTGCTGCTCAGTGCCTTGGTACTGATCAGTGTGCGGTGTTTGTCTCCCCCCGTTTTATTAAGAGGGAAAGTTTGTTTTGTGGCTTGGATTTTCTGCTGGTCTTTAAGCTGTTGTTGCTATCATAAAGGAAATGCTTAACTGCCCCCATCATGCCCGAATATTTGGATGTATTCCTTAAGGAACGCTTCACCAATTCATTTATATTTCCAGAGCTGAAATTGTCCCAAAATGAGAACTTAAGCACAAATGAGGAGGTTTGCGTTCGGTGGGCTAGGGAGTTAGCTTATGATCTTTGATTATTCTATGCTGGTACTTCTGACACTAGAGGGAAATTAATAGCATTTTGAAGCACAGATCCCTATGGCATTTTGCATGATATTTTGAAAAAAAAGGAGCATATGAGTTTTGCTAGGTTTTGGGAATTACTGAAGAGAAATGGGTGATTTTCTCTCAGAGTTTGTAAATATCTTCTGACTTTAAGTGTCTCCTCCAGTCCTTTTCAGTTTTCTGGTCTCAAGGTTATGATTTAGGTGCTTTTAACAAAAACACACAGTCCAGGTGGGTGTCTCATTATCAGGCAGAAACATTTCTGGAAATTGAGTTCTTGTACGTAGTAGCATTTCCCTCATTGAATTTTCACTGTGAAATCAGTTTTCTATTATAAAACATTTAAAAATCGTATTATAAATTTACTTATAATATTTACTTCTATATATTTATATATTTTCAAATTATATTAATCAGTTTATTTAAAAATCTCCCCTAGAAATGTGATGTATAGTTTAAAAAGTCGGGTTGTTCTACCAGGTTTGTAACACAAACCAGTAGTTTGCTGCCTTCCCCACCCTGACTCCTGCTTCTTAGGATAAACGTGAGCAGCCGTTTTAGGTGTTTCTTCAGCTTTTTGTCTCTATGTGACTCAGCTATGGATAACTTTGCTGCTTTTTCACTTTTTCCCAGCTGTAAACATATGTAATGATTTTCTAGCGTAGAAGAAGAGGATCTGGTTCTTCTATCCCTACTTGCACCCTATATTGTCGATACAGTATGTTTTTTTTAGGTTAGTTCAATAGTCACAGTTTCATAAATGGAATATTACTCAGCCATAAAAAAGAATGATGCTCTGACACATGTTACAATACGGATCAACCTTGAAAGCATTACGTTCAGTGAAATAATCCAGACACAAAGGGACGAATACTGTATGATTCTACGTATAAGAAATATGTAGAAGAGACAAGTTCATAGAGACAGAGAGTAGATTAGAGGCTACCAGGGGTTGGGGGAGGGGAGAGTGGGGGGTTATTGCCTAATGGTTACAGGGCTTCTCTTTGGGGTGGTAAGAAAGGTTTGGGAATAGTGGTGATGGTTGTTCAACACTCTGAATGTAATTAATGCCACTGAATTGAGAACTTCAAAATGGCGAATTATATACATATCTCTCCATAATAAATAAGCACATTAATTAATTAATAAAAATAGCTTACATGTTTAAGACTGTAAATATTATTCTTTTATTTCCTTTCTTGTGCATTTTGTGTTTTCCAGAGTTAATCAAGGTCTCATGTTCTTGCTTTGCCCACTTTTTTGGGTACCCCTGTTATCAGCCTCCCACCCAGAAGTACATATCTCTTCCACACCTTCAGGTCTCTCAGGGCTCTACGGTATGCTCTTCCCGGGAGCCCTCCAGCCCCTCTTTCCGTCCCTTTGGGCTCTTGCTCTGTGGAAACGCGTCCTTGAGTCTCTTCCTGAGAAATGTGCCTGGGAGGGAGTCTTCAGCAGGCTTCCCCCAAAGCAGGGCGTGACATGAGGACTCCTGTGCAAGGAATTTAGGGAAGATAGGCTTTGGGAGAAGTGGCCGGGGGTGAGGGATGGATGGGGCTGGGGAGGAGGCTGAGCTGAGATGTGGGAGCATGCTGGTCACTTCCACACAGCGCCTAGACCTCCACGGTCTCCTCCTGGTTTCCGTGTGGTACCCTAACCCCCAGCGGGGAGGGGCATCCCTGAACGTCTGGCAGGACAGTTACATTGATAAAGATGGAATGTGAGGAGGGCCTGAGGATGTGATGGAAAAGAGTCCTTACCTGGGTCATGGTTTTAGATTTGTTGATGGCGGGGATGTAGGGGAGGCCCTGAAACTTGCAAGGAGAGGGCTTGCTGGGCAGGTCCTCTGTGCAGGTCCTCCCGGGTGGGGAGGTCACCACGAACGGCAGCTACCAAGGACTGTTGAATTCTAAAGCTGGTGAGACAGCAGTCTGGGGAAGGGAGGGATTGGACCATGGCAAGGAGAAGGAGCCCACCGGCTTCCTTCGATGGTCCCAGGGAGCTGAACTGATGAGACATTTGCATTCTTTTCGGGTGGTCCTGAAGCATCTGCAGTTTTCCGGGAGTGGCACTGAGGCCTTTGCTGGGAGAATCTAGCCCAGAACACCTGTGTGTGGATGAGACTGGCAGGAGGGAAGTCACTTTCTGTATGGATTTGTCCTTTATTGTTACTCTTGTGACACTTGACTCTGTCACTCTGCATGTTATTTTGGAGATGGATGGTGCAGATGTCTTTTTAAAAGACAAGGTATAATTAAGTCACTTTTAGAAACCCATTCAACGTTTTGCATGTCAGTGATGACTGTCATGTGGTTGTGGTGGGTAGTGGGAGTACTCCAGCTGAGGAGATGTCACTGCATGTACAGGAGTAAATGACCATGATGCACTTTTAATTTGCTCAGTGCTAGGGAAGCTTTTATTGGCTTGACCTCACTGAGATCTTGCTCCAGCTTCGTTTTTCTCTCTTTGCTTGTGTTTTCCCCCTCATCGATGGTCCTGCTTGCTCAGTTCCCTGAATCTGCCACTTACTGGCTCTGTGACCTTGGGCAAATTATCACTTTGAGATTCAGTTTCTTTATCTACAAATAGCAAGAGAAAACAATATCTACCTCTCAGGGTTTTCGTGATGATAAAGTAAGATATCAAATGGGAAGCTTGCTCCCTAGAAATGATAGGTGATCAATAGATGTTTGTTCCCTTCCTCCTTTTCAGTGATAGGAAGATGGATGGGACCAAGCCGACAGTGACTCACTGGCTGTCCCCAGGTATTTCAAAGGCTGTCATGTATCACAGAGGAAAGACACATTCTTGGGTGTTCCAGAGAGCGGGCCTAGTGCTAATATGTAAATATGAAAGGGAGAAATTTCCACTGGACATAAGGAAAACCTTTGTCTTATAATAATACACTGGCGCTGGTGAAGCAACGTGTCCCAGAAGTCTTCAATTAGAACAGGATTTCTCAACAGGGTCATTGACATCAGGGCCAGGTGATTCTTTGTTGACAGGACTGTGCGTTGTAGGATGTTCGCAAGCATCTGTGGCCTCTAGTCATTGGATGTCCTAGTGTGACGACCAAAGATGTCTCCAGGCATTGCCCGCTGTCCCCTGGATGGCACAATTGCCCCTGGTTGAGAACCATTGAAATAGAAGCTAGATGGCAGCGAACCAGACTTCATCTTCCCAAGGTCAACACGATTCTGCCCCAAGTTGAGTTCTTACAGCATTAATTTCAGGAATTCTGATGGCAGCCTCTTGGTTTGGGATGGCACCTACCGTGGAGAACTAAAGGCCTAACACGTGACATTGCAGGGTTTCATTCGGGCCATAGAGAGCGACTGAAACCCACGCGGGAGGCCTTCTGGGGTTGGTTTAACGGTCCGCTGCTCACTGTGGTTTTGCAGGTCATGTTAGCGGCCTCCTATTGGTCCCTGCTGGCCCCAGCGGTTGAGATGGCCACATCCTCTGGGGGCTTTGGTGCCTTTGCCTTCTTCCCGGTGGCTGTGGGCTTCACCCTTGGAGCTGCATTTGTCTACTTGGCTGACCTCCTGATGCCTCAGCTGGTGAGTATCACCCTTCAAATGTGACCCATTAATGTCGCTGTTCAATCTCTGGTGACATGGAAGTAAGTGTTGCAAACCATGTAGGGCTTTTATGGAGAGGAACTGGATTTGACGTTTTTCCTAAAAGGAGGTAAGCTCTTGGTAATATGACTAATTGTCCCCTTGGTTATGCTTTGTTAAGTTCAGATTGTAAATGTCAGGGTTCATTATAAATACAGAGTGCAGCCCAGAATCCACCGTGTGGCTCCACATACATGAATGGACCCAGAAACTGGGAGAAGTGAGTGACCGTGATCACGATCATGGTCCTGACCCTTAAAGCGCTAATGATGTTAACAGGGAGATGACAACACACCCAACTATAGCGTCAGACCAGGGACAAAGCAAGCAGTAGGAGGACTTATCTTACCTTGACCTGAGCAGGACGGGGTACTCTGAACAAAGCGTGGAAGCCAACAGATAATCACAGACCCGTGATGTGCAGCCCAGGACACTGCTGCTCCAGCCTCTGCCAGACTGTCTCCTGCTTACCTTGCGGGATGCGGTCTGAGTGTTCCTTCCCCAGAAAGCTCCCTGACTGCCCATGCCTTGGTTCCACTTTACACTTCCCCATCCTGGTCCTTCTTTTCTCTGTGCTGTCATTGCCTGTGGACCCGATCACTATGGCCTGAAGGTAGAGGCATGGCAGGGACAGGTCTGCTGTGGTCTCCCGTGTCCTACACACCAGCACAGTGCCTAGTGCATAGTAGGTGTTCAGGAGGGATTGATAAATGAATGAATGAATGGAGATGCTGAGAAAATCAAATAGATCTTTATGAAGACTCTTACGTAAAGTTTCTAAGCTGAAAGTCCTTTACGCATGGGGAGTTATTTTCTGCAAACAGATCCATGCCCTTTGCAATTGACCACATTTTTGGCACTACAAACACGAGGCCCAGATAATTAAACCTGGAGGCAGAAAGTAGAAAAACCTTAATCTTAGAAATCGGAATCTGTTGTACGATTTTTCATGCGTTTTTTACTTTCTTAATTATGTTTACCCAAGAAGCTAAAGGTGCCTACTGCCATCTAGAAGGAGCGTTTTGGAGTAGTGCAGTCAGGAAGTGTTAGAGGGGAGGTGGGTGGGAAGGAGCAGAGAGGTCACTTTTGCTGCTTTGGAGTGATGTTGACACCTGAATCTCTCTCTCTGGAGGCTCTGATTCATCATATCCAAGGTGAGGCCTGGGCATCTAAACAAAACATCTGTACAAAGGCTCTGCTCTCCATCAGCCAAGGTTGCTGACTGCCCTCTGAAGGCTGCTTATAACTGGCTTTTGTTCAGGTGTTTTCTTTTGGATGATTCATAGCCATTCAGGTATCTTCTTCTTTCCCTTGGAATCCAGAGTCTTACTGTTGCAAAGGACTCAGAAAAGAGGGACAGAAGGACTTCCTGCACATGCTGAAAGGATGGTCTCAAGATGAGAAGGAGGAAAGGATCTGGTTCTATGGGTTGCAAACTTTAGAATGCACCAGAACCACCTGGGAGACTTAAAGAATGCAGGTGCCTGGGCCCCACCCCAGACTCAGTGACTTACAAGCTCTCTGGGTGAGGCCCAGGCACCTGCATTTGAAACTAGGTATCTGGGGGATTTGGGTGCTCATCAAAGAGAGAGAATCAGGACAGTCCCGAAAGGTGAGTAGTAGCCCTGGGGGAGCCTGGAAGGCTGTATCTGAAGGACCATCCATCCCTCAGGGGGTTCTGACGTGTGGGTGGCATCTCTTCCCTTATCAGAGGAGCTCCAGGTTCCTCAGGGCATGTTTTCACTGTTATGGCTGCCTTTCTCCTCACTTTCTCCTGACACCTTCGTAAAAGCCATCGCCTGCTCTGTCTGACACCCTGATCCCGACTCTGCTCAGCCCTCCCCATTCTGCTAGGAGCTGTTTGCATCTCAGATTTCCATATGGTAGCGAGTGGCTGCTGGGGGTCCCAGGAGACTGGCTCATGGATGATGCCATTTCCTCTGAGTTGGTGGCAGAAGTGGTTCAGGGCAAGACCTCTGGGTAACCGGGGGCAGTGCAAGCCGATGCTGGGTTTGTTTCTGAGAGAGTTCCAGTTAGGCATCGCCGTTGGGGGTGGAGGTGGAGTATTTGCATTATATAATACTATATGATGATGATATCTATATTATAATGATATTCCATAATGGCATGCCGTCAGTTCCCACCCAGGACTCTGCTCCACGGGCCATTCAGACCAACCTGTCCAAGGCATTGGGAAACCAATGCCCAATTTCTAGTATATTGAGTCCAGGCCCATCTAGTTGGGGCGATCTTTGCAGATATTTTGCATAAAGGTTACCTTCCATTGCGAGCTTGGAAGAATTGAAATACAGAGGAATTCCAACAACTTGGACATATTTACTTAGGTATCGGGGCTCGGGAGGCCCTAGCCCATGGCCCATCTTTGGTTTGTGGGCTGAGGTTCTAATCCCCAGAACCTGTGAATGTTACTTTATCTGGGAAAAGGGTCTTTGCAGATGTGATGAAGCTGGGGATCTTAAGATGGGGAGATGAAGCTGTATTATCAGGGTGAATCCTAACTATGATCACAAGTATCCTCACGGAAAAGAGGCCGAGGGAGAATTGACACAGTGGAGAAGGCGCTGTGACTGTGGAGGCAGATTGGAGTGACCGGGCCCCGAATGAAGGAACTTCGGGGCCTCCAAACGCTGGAGAAGGCAGGGTGTGCAGCCCTGCCGAGACCTTGATGTCAGCCCAACGATGCTGCCTTCAGGTTTCTGGCCTCCGGAACTGTGAGAATGAATTTGTCTTGTTTTAGACCATTGAGTTTGTGATCATTTTTTCTGCAGGCACAGGAAACTAATAAACCTTTGCATCTTCATTCCTCCTGCCCCTCGGGGAGCTGGCTTTGCTCTGCTCTGTGCCATGGAAGGGATCTGGCAGAGTCCTTTCTCTGACTCTGACCGCCTTGCTGCTTGGGGTTACTGTTTGTTGCACATCTGAAAGGTCAGAACAGATCAGTGACTTTTGCCTGGATTCCCTTTCCTGTCTTTTGGTTCGGTGATTTTAAAAATCTGCATCAAATATGCAGAAAGTCTAGCCTTTGTTAAATTGGAGTGGGTGGTACAGGGATTTTGATCTTGTTCTCTGTACTTTTCTGTATCCCTGGCAGGTCTTTTAAGAAGGAGCCTTAAAAGCTATAGATAAAATTGCCAATAATAAAAATAAATGACATCTAAGTGAAGGAAAAAAATTATATTGGACCCAGGAACAGTGGACTTCATGTTTCCATGTAATGGTTATCAAAATCTCTCTTCCACATTTTGTAGTAATTGTCCCTGGCTTTGGATAGTTATATAATTTAAGTACTCTAAAATTTTGTATATAAGATATAAAAAAAATCGGTAAGATTTTGGGCTGTGTGTGTGTGTGTGTGTGTGGGGAGAGAGGAGAATTATTACGAAATCTCAATATTAAAAGGAAATGCCCACCTTGAATGTATTTATACCGTTATATGTGAAACCCTCCTGTTTTTCCTTACTGGACATTTTGCATTAACCGTTGTTACATTTCTAATTTTGGCAACTACTGATGATCAAGTTGTCGAAATTGGGCAGCCTTTGGCTTTGTCACTGGTGGTAAGAGTTTTTTCACAGCAGCCATTCAAGTGCTGCATTGATTTGAATGTCAACATTCTAAGTTTAAATCCCAGCAGACCACTGATTCTTATTTTGTTCAGTTAAGTTTTTAGCCTAATGCCTGCTTCTTATCTGTGATGTTCTGCCTCTCACGCAATGAAATAGATAAGCCACTTACAGCATCATCTGCGAATAGCCTGATAATACTCAGCGGAATCCATTTTTACGCTGCGAAATTTCAGTGACTTCTCGTCAGAAGAGAAGATTGCTCTGCTGATGAAGGTAGAAGAAAATACGGGAGAGCCTCTTACAAGAATGTTCATTTTATCCTAGATGACAGTAATGACCCCACATAATTAAGTCTATGGTATCCATATGTGAAGCCCATCGTCGGAAGAGCAGTATCCCAGGACTCGAACACTGATGGATACTCCATGCTCTTGCCTGTATTTACTTTTCAAGATGGGGACTTATTACTTTTCTCTTAATGAATGCAAAACTCTACATCTTGGAACAGTGGAATAAGATAAACTGTCCTCACTCAAAGCCTAGCTTGGTAAAATCCTGGGAGGTAAGGATGAATGACAAATTGTCATCATGAGTTAACACGCTTCCCGTGTTCAGTGGTAATTTTGTAGAACAGTAGATGCCCTTTAAAAATTCTACCGAAAGGCAAAAAAACAAAGATACCAGCCAGGCTTGTTTAAAGGTAATCTGTATCCTTAAGCCATATCTTAGGAGGGTGTAAATAGCATGATCTGACACAAATGGAATATTTATATCCTTTGCTATTATCATGTTATAAGGCATGGTAGTTGCTTCCAGCAATTTAAGAGAAACTTGTGCTGGCTGCTTGTTGTTATCATAGCAAAATCATTTCATTGCAAATAAAAGGATTAAACATTTAGAGGAAAGGAGATGCCAAAGTAAAGAAAATCCCTTAAAAGAAACACAATCTGAGGAACCTCCCAGAGACCTCCCAGCATCCATGCTGCTGCTTTAGGCTCTGTGGCTAGAGGTGGGATTCCATGTGCCTATTGAGAAATAGATGTTTATAAGG